ATCTTTCTGAGTGAGAAAAGCAAACAGCTCCTAAACTGCGCTGAAAAAGTGATGTTCTTCAAAGACAGGATTTGTTCAGGAGCCTATTCTAAGTGGAATTCTTTCCACTATCTCATGTAGGACAGACTCTGCATTTCTACTACCCCACCCATTTTTTTTTTAATTTTCTTCTTTCTTTTTCATTTTTTTCCTTTTTACTTTTCTGTTCTTTTTCATTCCCCTTTTCCCCCAGTAATTCCCAGGACTAAATTAAGTAGAAGAAACAATGCTTGGTTCTCCTAAAATGAAGCCAGGTCATCCAGATAAACTGACTGTTTCTTTGTCTTACGGACATACCATGTTTGCCCAGTCTGTGGTGAAACATAGTGATAGAATATATTTTCCTTCTCCCTCTGGGTCTCATTAGTATCTGCAATTAGTTAAAATAGAAGACTCTAGCATGGCCATATTTAGAGAGATTTCTAATTTCTCAGTAGTTTGAGAATTCTCCACCCTGTTTCCCCAAAACCTTGGTTATGCCAAATTAGCATCTCATAAGAAAAAAGTCTGTCTACTTTAGTAGTATTGCCCATCTTGTTGTGTTTAAGCATGTTTTCCCTTGATGTGTTATTTCAAAATCTTTTGATTGCCAAAGCCCTATGGAATGCAAGTAACCAAGACAATAATGACTCTCCTGTGTTGTTTTTGGATGTCATCATGTCTACCACTTGACTGTTTTGTTTGAGTAATTTAGGGACAGTGATGCTACTGAAAGTCTTTGTGGATGTGGCGCAATAGATTAACCGAGTCTTCTGCGAGAAACATTGTGTCAAAAAGAAAAAAAAAAGGCAAAAATGCTTCATCCTCTTTCAAAACCAGCTGATACAGGTTTGCACAGCCTTCTGCACATCCTCAAAAGTCTGTTCTGTGGGAATATGAACTTGTTCCTATCTCTGAGCTGGCTGGAGATCTCCTTTGTATGGTAGGAGCAGGAGAGAATTTGTGGAAGGATCTTTCTATTTCCCATCTACACAGGCGGTGTACCACGTAGTGGCACTGACAGAGCCCTGAGGAATCCAGGCACTGTCTGACTCCTGTAATGTTACTTCAAATTTAGGCATAATCTTTCCTATTGAAATGCACAGACTAATGCTTGTTGCCCCTAAAATAAGAACAGTTAAGCCAAAGGCAGAAAACTGCATAAGATAATCCAGAGAAGAAAATGACAAAGCTTTAGGGAAAAAAACCTAACAAGCACTAACTTCTAATTTTCTGGAAAGTGCTTTACTCCACTAAGCTCCAATTCACCTCCTCAGTGCAGCAGACCAGAGGTGACAGATATTGCAAAACAAAATGCAGCAACTTTGCGTAGCCTTGTGCTTAGTGTTTCGCTGCCAGAGGTGTGTCCTCTGGACTGCACACTTCTAATAAGTACTTTGTGCCAACTCTAGTGCTAGTGAGAGCTCTCAGCACTGAGTCTGGTCATGAGCCAAGTGAGAATCTATCCCCACTCCCCCAAAGAGTCGCATTTGTGTGCTCAGTCAGTGCACAGAGTAGTCAGGGTGGTACCAAAGCTGCCATCTGTGAGATGGTGAGTCTGGATGACAGATGAGGGGGCAAAGTGCATTGAGAAAAAAGAGAGGGGAGCAGCTGCTAGGTAAGCTGAGCTGCCCAAAGTGTGATGGCCTTGGTGCTCAGGGCGCTCAAATGGCACCTGGTGGTGCTGGTCACAATGTGTTGTCTGTTGTGGTGCACCAGTTTAGTTGTTCTCTTGCACTGCCTGATTGGGAATTTGTACAGAATAGTTTTGTATTGCACTGTATAGCTTATTTTATATCACGTGGTTTGTTACCTCGTTTCCCCATCACACGGTCTTTCCCTCACCTGTCCCAGTACCACCTGGTGGTCTCTCCCCTGGGTTACCCCTCCCCTCACCACTCCTCACTGGTATCCCACTGGCTGCAGACCTCTCCCTCTGTCCCCATCCCCGGGGTATAAAAGCTCCCTGCTGCCAGGGAACACCCTCTTTTCTCCCATGGGTTTGTCCGCCTGATGTGTGTCTTGAAATAAAGGACAACGTCTCCCACGTGGAGGAGAGCGCTTCTCAATCTTTTACCTTTGTCTATGAAATATTGTGTGGGCAAGGGTCTATAGCTAGTCGGAGTGGACCCCAACAGCCCAGGAAACGCGTTTCTTCAGTTGCCCTTCTGAAGGGACAGAAATCTCCTCTGTATCTGGCAGTGATTTTGGCACATAGCCATTAGGCTGTGAGGTACCCTAAGTAAGTTTTGCCTTCATGTGTCTGTAGTGTGTGGAGACTCTGAATTCCTTCCAAACTAAAGCCCTCAACTGAAGATTGCTTGGGCCAGAGGAGGCTGGGTGCTGGGCAAGTCTTTGCTGCTTGGTCAGGGTACTTTCATAGCTCTTTATTGAAGCAGGGCCTGTGACACACTCCTTTCCACCCAGCTGAGTGCTGGAAACACCAAGCTGTATGGTCTTTCTTTTATACTGTCGCCTTGTGGGCCATTATTTACCTGATGTGAAGTAGAACAGATTCAGCTAGAGGGGTGCAAGAGACCCTCATCAAGCTGCATTAGAACAGTTAGAGCAGTACTGATTTGCGCATTGAAATCTTATTGAACAGATAAAGCATTTGCCAGGGACATTCAATTCTGACTCCTGATTCAGAGACGAGACTCCTATTTCTTCTGCTTGAGTTTGGTGTGGAAAATCTGTTTCATTACATGTCTTCAAAAATATCTAGTTGAATAGGTCCTGCAGGTGAGGCAAATGGGATGGAAAATGAGACTAGTGATTTTTGTCAGGTCTGAGGCTGTGACAAAGTCCAGTCTCAGGAGAGTTAGTCCTCAGGCTCTGGATTTCTGTAGGTGGCAAGAAGCTGCTGAGCCTGCAATGCAAGGCTGAGCATCTGGATCCCATCTGCATGGTCATGCAAGTATGAATTCCTTCAGCAAAGAAATTTATTTACAGTGTCCTATATTTTGGAAAATTCAGTCATCACCAGATTTTAAATCCTTTTAATGGGTCTAAATCAATTTGCATGTTGAAAATAAAGCATAGTTATGTTTTTGCATGCTTGTAACTTGTCACCTCACTGAACAGTGAAGTTTCCTGTGGTTCCTGGAAGCTTCTTGTCCTGTTGTTGCTGTGCAGAAGGGCTATGCAAATTCCCTAGAGCCAAAGCAAAGCAGCTATTCTTCTCAGTGAGTGCCAGGATTGCGCCTGCTGCATTGTGTGCAGTCCAGAACAGCAAACATCTATCACATTGAACTCCCAGGGCTCAGCTGTGCCTTAAAGACATGGTTTAGCTTTTAACAGAGCTGATCAGCACACAGTGTTCTGACTGTCATTCCTAAAGAACAAAATGACAGATGGGCTTATGATACGTTCGTCTGGAGGTAGAGAATGAGAGGAGCAAGTTGGTTACTAATTACCTTCCCACCACTGAAAGGGGAAATGTCCCCATGCTTGACACAACTCACATGGATGTGTCAAAATTAATGAACAATTTCACCCTCGGCTGTCCCAGAGTGAGTTTCACACCATTGTGTCCCATGTGGCCCTGAGATCTTAATGCAGCTATTTGCATTCATCAGGGCAGCACAGACACAATGTGAGAGTTCAAGAGTTTTGATATGAATCTCTGTCATCAAGATGCTTTGCAGCAGGAGTGTTGCTGACTAACAGCCATGGGTCATACTAGTGCACTGTTGCTGTTGATCCTTTTCATTATACTTTTTTTCTTTCAGGTCTTTGCATCTGATTATCAATAAAATATTTTTTCTTTCAGATCTGTTATTCAGATTACTGTTTCTAAATTGGTATGACTGCTCTTATGTAAAAAATATTCCTGATAGTCTCAGAAGTAATACATAAAACTGCAATTCCATCTAATTATTTTTGGTTTTATTTGTTATTTACATTTTGGCATTAGTTAGACACATGAGAAATCCCATTCAGCTGTGCAAAAAACACAGTAATCTTAGGACATAAGGTACTCCTGGGGATGAGCTAAGTTGTCAGGATTGTATCCCTAATGGCTGTATGTACCAGACAAATCATCTTGATTTTAAATCATATTTAAAATTGGTTAAAGTGAAGTGCTGATATGATCCTTAGTATGAATAGACTTTAAGAGTTGCTACTCACATATTTCCTTTGATTATTTTGTAATTACTGCTTTAATACTTATGTTTCTTGACAGGTCAATTATTCTAACAATCCAATAAGTAGATACATTATATACTGCAAAATAAATTATCACTTAATCCTATACCTAAAAAGGATTTGGGTTTGGAAATTTGATTAATGAGATTTATCAAATCAGGCTCCAGAATTCTTCACTAGTTCTTGTCATACTGAAAGATGATTATGGAGGTGGGGTGGTGGAAAATGCTAAAAGCAGTGCATTGCTTGACTAGGCATGAAAATAGGAGGGCTCATTTGCAGGGCTGCACTTGAAAAATAAAATTAGAACAATGAAGCATTGCTATCTGGCAATGGAAACAGAGGCTGACATTTTAGGGATTATAGCTGCTGCTAATATTTAGGTAAGTGCTCTAGGCCATTTTCCTCTAATTGAAAGCTGATGCAAAACCAGTTTAAGTGATGCAGTCAGTATATTGGGTATTCTATTAGTTTAATTTTTGACACTGCCTTGACAGAGGTAAGGTGGCAGAACCTTAATGACAACAATTTGTTTTCTGTTTGTGCAATTATGATGGGTCTTTATTGTCAATCTAATCAGTAGCAGAGGGTTAGATCTTAATGTGAGACTTATTCAGAATGTTAAATTTGAAGGAATTCATTTCAGAGAGCTGATGAGCACTCAAGTGCTGCTCACAGGCTATCAGAGTTCAAAAAAATCTGTTTTAATCTAAGCCTTTTTAGTTTTGAAATCTTACAGCCCCCTTCAAAACAGATTTCACCACCTACTTTTGTTACTTTTGGCCCTTTTCATTTATCTTTTGGCTGATTTGTTTTTCCTCTTTCTCCTCCAGCTTCTTGGTGGCCTCCCAATATCCAAAGCCCAAACTATCATTGCTGTGACAAAGGGTGGGATGCACCTTCTCCACAGCACTCAGATATTTTCCTCATGGCTCTCCGTGTGAAGTCAACCTTCCCTCTTTCTTTCTTGAGAGCTGTGTACTCGTAGGCCTTCAGCTTGCTGTAATAGTCTGAGAATTTATTGTAGAGGATGGAGATGGGCATGCCATTCAGGATTATTCCAAAAGCAATGCAGAGGAAAGCAAACAGGCGTCCAAGGTGAGTTTCTGGACACATATCTCCATATCCCACTGTAGAGATGCTGACCTACAGGCAAACCAACACGCAGCTTATTAGCTGAGCAGAAATACATAGACAGATATGCTCACTGATCAGGGACAATGTTAAAGTTAGCTCTTTTTAAATTTGCATTGTAAGTCTAAAAAGCAGTCTGTGCTGCTTTTTTTTTTTTTGTCTCTGTGTGGGTGTGTATGTGTATGTGTCTACTAGCTTTTTTATGCAAAATATCCCTAATTGAAAAAAAAAACAAAAAAAACAAACCCTCTCATGAAGTAAAGAAAGACAGTGGTTTGACACCATTCAGGAGGGTTTTTAGATTTTTGCCCTGCAGAGGGAATTCCCAGACAATTTCCATACCAGGCTGACCAGAAGATGAGTTTGCTTGGCTGGAGGGAGAGGATCGATGTGGCTCCATAACCATACAAATCCACTGATAGCTGCAACCCTGCTCCCTCATCATGTCACTTGGAACAGATGTCCTGTTTCTAAATCCACTGTGCTGATAAAACCCAGTATTTGGGACTTATTCTGTGGATTGTATTTTGAGTTTTACCATTGTTTTTCATATATATTTTAGGAAGTAATGAAAAACACACAAAACCCTTCAATTAATTACGAAATAAATTTTCCTATTTGCATTAGAGGAAGAGATGATCCAGGACTTCAAAGTTTCTGGATAAAATCCCCTTTAATGATTACATACCTACAAAGAACTGTAGCCTGGAAGGTTTTGCTTGTGGTCTATGATTTCAATATGTATAGTTATAGTGTTAAGTAAGTACATAGGTGGGTAATTTTTGCTGAATTTCCTTTTGAAGCAGGATTTAGGGGTTGTTAAAAATGTTTCAGCTTTGGTTGTTGGATTGGTTTTGGGATTTTTCTTTGAGAGTGATGTTGTTCAGTGTATTTATTTTACATGATTCTGAACACTTGGGCAGGTCACTGTGTACATACATTTAAATTTTTCTTCTCAGCCAATATAATTTTCTCATTCTAGCCTATGGATATATGAAGGAACTATTTTATGGGTCCAGTGCTACACCAAGTACTGAAATACTTCCATTGTAAAATTCAGATCAAAAATTAATGGATATCTGATTATGGAGATGCTACATTTGAAAAATGTACTCTCAAACAGTCAACTTAAGATAACTCCTAATTTATTTAATTTCGCATGTTGATATTTTGTATTTTTTACACTGAGTAAATATAACTTACTTTTTTCCTGGCAGGTAAAACTTGCATGTTGCTGTCACCTCTCACTTTCTAGCCTGTGCAAGGGATCTTTTTCAGTCAGTGAATTTTATTTAATTTTTTTCACAGTGTCTCAACACACTGTGTATATCTGCTAAACAGTAACCTAGAATTCTGACAAAAATAAGCCACAGACAGTAGGACTTTCACTGTAATGCCCTTGTGGCTTTAACATTAAAATAAGTCTTCAGAAGGTCACTGTGTAGAGTTTGCTGTCTTCTAAAATGGTAAATAGACTGATATTTTAAATGAAGAAAACATTAGAGTACATGAGACAGCACTGGGTGAGCACATTTTTAGGATGCACCTGGTGCTTCCTGTGGAATAAAAAGGATTAGTGATTTGGTTTAATGGAAATTAAGTCACTGGATTTGAATGATAATACAGGATAAATATCTCCAAAAATAAATACTGAGATGAAGGCAAGATGTTTATCTCTACCAGCCAGGAAAAAAACATTATCCTGTGATAAGGTTCTGTACCATTGGCATAGTATTATACATTGCCTGTAACAGTTTAGGAGGGATGCTTGTCCTGCATGTGTGAGTTGGTGAATGCTGTTGGATTTTTATAAAATTTGAATGATCTAGATATTTTAATTTACCGTCTTAATGAATAGGCTTTAAAAAGTGTTTTATGCTTTGGAATTGCCATGTGCATAACACAGCATTTGAAGGCATTTGCTCACGCAAATAGACCTTTTTCACCTTGCCATATAAGTTTATTAGGAATATCTAAATTATTATGGTATCACCAGTTTGCAAAAATGAGCCTTAAAGATTTTGCATATAACCTGCATGTTCAGAAGACAAGGTATTTTAGCAATGTATGAATCACCAGTGTTTTCATAGCCTTTGTATATCACTTACAGATGATCTATGAAGGTCACATTACAGGTCCCTTTCCTTTATTCACTGTTTTTTCCATCCTTCCATGGCCCAGCTTAAAGGACATTCAGCACAGTTACACATATGCATGTGCACATATAAATGTGTGCCTCTATGCTTGTCTGTAAGGCTTTTTTTTCTGCCACATGCTGAATCACTGCAAATGTGTGGTAAACCACCACATCTCATTGTCCATGGCTGAACCAGAGTACAGACCTTGGGCTCCAGGATGGCTGGCCAGGAGAAGTGACCTTGAATGGGTTGGGATTACTGTCTGGTGGGCCTCATATACACCTTGGGGCAATCAGGTTCTAATTCCCATCCAGTCTATTTGCATGAGCTTCTTTCTCCAGGGAAGTGACTGGGACAGAGCCAGACCCATAGCCATGCCCAGGGGTCAGAATTGCTCCCAGGGCCCCACATAAAAATAGACTATGCAGGCTGGCATCAGCTGCTGCAAAACAAAAAATATGTGACAATAGTCTAGGATAAGCCTTAGGGTTATGGATGGCCAAGATGTGGGCCCTGTGCCTGCCCTCGGTATCAACAATGTCTAGCTACCCCCTGGTTTCATCTAGGGCACTATAAATACAGACATCTTCTGCAGCACAGCAGAACACAATCTCTTGTGTAAAACAACTGTTGGTCCTAATGGATTTTTAACAGCCAGAGCTCTGGGACAGCTTTCACTTTTAAAGTGTGAGTGATCTGACTGTAGTTAATAAACTATATCTCATCATCTTGTAGTTTTATGGGTCACAGAAAATCTACATATAGAATAAGAACAAAACCCGTGTAACTGGGTAGCTGAATGCATGCATTTTTTCCCCTATTGTTTTGGCAACACTCACAATGGCACTAAATTGGGAAACACTTTTTTCCCCGTCTTTGCCCACTTCTTCTTTAAGAGTGAAAATACTGTCTGCATTTGGAGATATGGGAGTTTCAAGACTGCCTGCCTGATAAAGCCTTGATTTAAGCTTAGAGAGAGGTGAATGAGTGCGTGTGTGTGTGTGTGTGTGCGCGCACGCAGGCATGCATATGTCCTGTAAGCTCAGAATTCAGAGCAGATGTTCACTGATCTGAGCCTGTTGTTTTCATGACTGTCAGCAGCTCCAGCTGGGAGGTGAGGGGAAGGGGAGGGGAAGGAAGGGAGGGCCTCTGGCTACCCAGCAAGGTAAGATGTGTTTACTTACGGCAGCCCACCACCAAGCATGGGGAATGCTGGTGAAGTTGGTACTGGACACATCGTGCTCCACTGTGTAGACCATGGCAGAGAAGGCAAAGATGCCCATAGCAATGAAGAGCAAAAGGCAGCCCACCTGCTGGTAGCACTGGCGCAAGGTAAAGCCAAAGGCACGGAGCCCTGTGGAGTGGCGGGCCAGCTTGAGGATGCGGAAGATGCGCATGAGGCGCATGATGCGAAGCACTTGTCCTACCTTGCTCACCCGTCCCACCTTCTCAATATCGTGCTCGTGCTGGGAGCCCCGACCCCGGGGCTGGTCATCATCAGTAAAACATTCAAGCAGCAGCTGCAGATAGAGGGGCAGGATGGCAATGAGGTCTACTGCATTGAGGGCACTGCTGGCAAAGCGACGCAGGTCTGGGGTAGAGACCAAGCGCAGCAGGTACTCCAGTGTGAAGAATGCAATGCACAAGGTCTCCACATGCTCCAAGACAGGCCGGCTATTCCCACTCTTCCAGTCTACCTGCTGCATCTCCTCTACTGTGTTGAGTGCCAGGGCCACCACGGAGATGAGCACGAAGAAGCTGGAGGCCACTGCCATCACTTTGGCGGTGACAGAAGAGAAGGGCTTCTCCATGAGGTTCCAGAGGCGCCAGCGCTGGGGGCCGTAGTAGCGCATGTGGTGGAAGAGCTGCTCATTCTCCTCAGCCTCTGCCTGGGAGCGCAGCTCCCGCTGGACCTTCAGCTGCTCACTCAGCTCGTCCCGGCGCTCCTCGAAGCAGATGCGGCAGCAGCGGGGTGTGTATTTGAGACGCACGCCCCAGTAGCTCAACTCCTCCAGGAAGCTACGGGGGCACAGCTCATCCCTCACCCGCAGCACCCCTGAGGCATAGAAATTGTACACCAGCTGGAAGACAGCTGGGTCCCGGTCAAAGAAATACTCATCAACCTGGGCAGCATAGTCATCGCACAGGCCCAGCTGGCAACGGCGGTCAGTGGAGGTAGCCAGGCGGCCCAGGCGGGTCTTGGGGTAGATAGCCACTGCCTGGTAGGTGAGGCGGTAACTTTGGCCACCAACATTGATGTTCAGCATGGATGGAGCAGATGATGTGGTCGGGGATCTAGAGGAAAGAGCAGGAGAACAAGGAATAAATGATGAGGCCTTGCTTTCTCCCTTAAATGCATCTTCATGTTGCCATTTTCCTTGTTCTTTCTCTTCATCTTCCTCATCTTCATCATCCACATAATAGCTGTAATTCCTCTCAGGTCCTGGTTGCAGTAGATGCTGGGCATTCAAGGGAGCAGTGGCAGAGGAACCACTCTGCATGTCTACATGAATGACTTCCTTCTCCTTCCCCTTGCTGGGCTGCAGGGGGATGTTTGATGTTTCCATCTCTCTGCCTTTATGTTTTAGGAAAAGAAACTCTTGCTGACTGTTAAACTGCAGCATAATATTATTCCTTACCCTTTTCTCCTCTTTGCATTCACCTGATCAAGCAGTTAACACCAGTACTTCTCAACACTGCAAAACCTGGCAACCTGGTTTTCTTCTCTCTTTATCTCAGAAATATTATGCACAGCAGTGGTTCTGCATATTTCTCCCTGCCAGCCACCACTCCAGTTGTTGTGAAAGCTCTGTCTGGGATATAGACACATGAAGACTGCTGTTGACCGTTTTAATCTTGCTGACAGCAAAGATCTGAGTGCTTAGAGGAGGGGATTTAAGCGCTATTATCCTGTTCAAACCTCGTTTCCCTTAGGCTGTGACGTGAATGATTATGGATCCATAAATCTATGAAAAATCAGTAAGCAGGAAAATCCCTTAAAGTTTTATTGCTAATGAAACCCACACATTTTCCTATTTCAAATATACATGGATTAAAAGTAATCTGAAATAAAAATGTATGAGGGGCGGAGAGAAAGAGAGCAGTACAGATTTCTTTCATCCTCATGGGCTTGGTTTTCTTTAATGAAAATAATGAACAATTGATATGCAGATAAAGGGCAGGAACTCACTGGTGTATCTCTTAAAATGTTTTCAAAAGGTGAGCAAATAAAAGTAATTTCATTTTATTCACAGTTAGAATACCTCCATTTGGTTAAGAGCTGAGGAATATTTCAGTCTGTGCCTGAAGTTTTGAATGTACTCTGGAAGTGCAGGTCAAATGTTCTGCTGGACTCCGTGGAAGCAAAGGGCAGGGGTATGAAGGAGTTTCCAGCTTCAAACTCTTCATCAGCTGCTGAGAAACAGCATAAAGTCACTCTTGTTTCTCTTGCAGCTGGTGTTAGTGTAATATAAATCTGCAGTCAGTAACTAGCAGGACAGGAGAGATGCTTTCTCTGTGTTTCATCTTCACCTCTGTTTGAGCTGGCATCAGCAATTCCTGTAACAATGAACATCCCAAAAACCAGGTTACTTCCCCTTGTCACTGGGAGCACTTCAGCTAAGCTGAAGCTCCTGTAAAGCAGGGGATGCACACAACAAAGTGCTGGTTCCTTGTGCCTGCTCTTAGCACCTGACTTAAAACTCCTAAGCAGCAGCTCATTATTCCACCTGTATACAGGCTGGTGCAGGAAGGGACAAGGCTTTGGGAAACTACTCGATTTGGTAGCACCCTTGCTGGTCTGGAAGGCATCCCATCTGCAATTTTGTAGCCTGACTTCTGCTTGCAGCTCCCTTTCACATAGGCTGCTGGGACCAGTGTACCCCAGAGCACAGCAGCAGTGTTTTCACTTTTTTGTCCTCAGGCTCCTGTTCTTCTGCACTGCTCTCGGGTTCTTGCTCTTGCAGACCCCAGTACTGTTGTTTTGGTAGTGTCCTGTGTGAAGCAATTGCTGTTGCTATGAGAATGTCTCCTTATTTTCTCCTGTTTCCTTATCTCCAGTTGTAGCATTTGTATTTATGTTTACTAGTCCTTGACAAAATGGAAGATGCCATAGCTGAGCATTTTGCAATACTTTTGTTCTCAGTCTGTGTTCTACTGAGTGGATCACATGAAACTGTTCAAGGTTTCTTTGAGTCACACTGTTTAAGGCCTGAATTTAAAGATGAATTTGTAATTCATCTTTAAATCTGCCTGAAAGTGAATTTGTCTTACCTGCCTGTTCTCCTTCTTGATGCAAAAGAGGCAAGCCCCATATTAATAGGGATTGTCAGTGCCTCTTTAGAGATACCAACCTGCTTTGCAGTTTGCTTTGAGCATTAAACCACGCCATGGTTAGTCCTTTGTATAGCAACCTTAATGCAAATTCATGTCAAGTTTCAAGGCTATTACTTTCTCCTAAGCAAACTAATTCAGACATAAGAAAAAGGGCAGTTCACAACGCCATCATTTTAGTACCAAAAGTTCTTGAATTTTTCTTCATCAAGATCCAGAGTAGACTATAACCATATTTCTCATGCCAATCTCTGCTGTAACATTTAATTTTGCTTTTTTGTCAGGCTCCCTGGCTTCACTTCTGAGAAGTATCCAGTAAGATTTATTGCTCACTATTCAAGAGATCATTTCTTGTGCCATACTGAAGCAGCAGGAGCTTCTACAGGGTGAACTTCATGACTGTCAGGTACCAGCTCCTCGTGCACATGGACTCAGATCTTGGACACCATTACTAAGAAAAGCAAGGAAGATCAATAGCTTTGGTCTGCTCAGACTAATCTCTTTGACCTAAATATTCTTTGGAACAGAGCTCTGGGGCACCTGCTGCACTCTGCTCAAACTTGTCTCTAACTGGCAAAATAGCTAAAATAAAATTGTTTCGTATATGTTCTTTATTTTCAGGTGGGAGTTGGTTCTGAGGTGCTAGATTCTCAGTCTAGACACATAAGAAAATGAAGTGACTAGAAAGGACCCACTTTTCCCCCTTATCTACGTTATTTAGTGTGCTGCTTTTCTTCATAAATGTCACTAGTAATAATTGCTTGTCTTCTTGTATGGGGAAGAGCAGACTATGGGCTGCTTAAAGAGCTAGTTAGTAAAGTCTCTTGGGAATCTTTTTTCTTAAAGCTATTTGAGTTATATGCTTGTTGCTTTTCAAGAACTCTCTTTTAAGAGTGCAGGAGCCAAACACAACATGTTGAAAGCCAAGCCAATGGGGCAAAAGGTTGGCTAGGCTGAGCAGTGAACTTAGATGGAGAAGGAAAGCTTATGAACACTGGAAACAAGGTGACATGGGAGGATGATAGAGATGCTGCTCAACTCTGTGGAGAGAAAATTTGTGTCACCAAAACTCAGATAGAATTTAAGCTGTGCAGGACAAGCTGTGAAGGAAAGCAAGAAGGGCTTTTTTGGGTTTTATATGTTAACAGCAAAAAAAGGATCAGAGATAACATTGGTCCATTGCTTGATGAGATCCAAATAAAATTACAGACACAACAGAGAATGATTACACCTTCGCCATCTGTCTTCAACACCAATGATGGGCTGGGATCCTAGGAGCCCATTGTTGGAAGACTGTCACTTGGGGAATGACAGATTCCCAGGCAATCCTGAAATTGTTTGAGACTTGCTGTTTCAAGTTGGATGCACACAGGTGTATGGGGGAGGATAGGATTCTTTCCATGGAAAAGCTAGCTGATGCATTTGGCAGGACCTCTCTCCATTATATTTAATTTGTCTGGAGATGTCCCAGTCAGCTGGAATCTGGAAATTTGTCCCAGTTTTCAAGAAGGATAAAAAGAAAACTCTGGAAGTTATAGGCCTGGCATTTTCACTGCAGCTCGTGGTAAAATCACAGGGAAGGTTTTTCTGGGAGTTACTGAGAAACACTGTTTGAGAGACAATGCAGTCATCACAGTGAGCACAGGTTCATGAGGGAAAAGTCCTGTTTGACCAATTTAATTTTCATTTATGTCAAAGTAACCCTAGGTGACCAAGGGAAGACAGTAGATGTGGATTGGTTTTATTTTAGCAGAGCTTTTGATTCTGTCTGCCACAGTACCCTGCTGGATAAACTGCCTGGCACAAAACCAGTTGAGTCCATAACACATTGTGTGAGCAACTGGCTGGTAGGTTGGGCTCAAAGGGTTTTGGTAAATGTTGTGACAGCAGGCTGGCAGCCAGGGACCAGAGGTTCCTCATGGCTCCATTTTAGCGCCAGTGCTCTGTAATGTTTTTATAAAAGACTTCATATAAACTTCATATGAACTTTTTTATAAAAGTTCAGACTGGATGCAGGGATCAAATGCACATTAAATAGGTGTGGTGATTTTACTACACTAGGAAAAGTTGTGGAGTCCCTTGAGGGTAGAGAGGCTCTGCAGAGAGATGTGTGTAGATTAGAAATTTGGGCAACTACCAACTATTAGAAACTAGACAAGATCAGTCGCAGGACTCTCCACTTGGGATAGGGTAATCCTGGATGTACATGCAGATTTGAGGATGAGTGGCTTGGGGAAAGAGATCTGGGGGTTTGAGTTGGTGGCAAGCTGAACATGGTCAGCAGTGCCCTGGCAGTCAGGAGGGCCAACTGTATCCTGGGGGCATCAGGCCCAGCACGGCCAGCTGGGCAAGGGAGGGGATTGTCCTGCTCTGCTCTGCACTGGGGCAGCCTCACCTCGAGTGCTGGGGGCAGTTCTGGGTGCCACAATAAAAGAACATCAAACTATTGAAGTGTCCAGGAGAGTGTGACCAAGATGGGGAAAATTCTCAATGGCAAGACTGGTTCCTCAGCTTGGAGAAGCACTTGGTTTCCTCAGCTTGGAGAAGAAAAGGCTGAGGTGACCTTAAGGTGGGCAGTGAAGTGAGAGGTGCTAATCTCTTCTCTTGGTGGTCAGTATAGGACATGGAGAAATGGAATGAAGCTGCATCAGGAGAAGTTCAGACTAGACATTAGGAAAACATTCTTCATGGACATGGTGGTCAGTGATTGAATCATGCTCCCCAGAGAAGAGGTCACAGCACCAAGATTGTTAGAATTCAAGGACTGTCTGGAGAACACTCTTAGTCATATAGTTTAATTTCAGGTAGTCCTGCAAGGAGCAGGGATTTGGATTAAGTGACTCTTATTAATTCCTTCCAACTTGAGATATTGTATGATTCTCTGATTCTATGGATAGAAGAAGAAATACAAAAACTTAGCAGTCAGTACCATTGGAGAATGCTATCCAATCAACCCGTCAGTGCTCCGGATACCAGCTCCTGAAAACAGGATTTTAACAACAGAAAACTATAATTAAAATGGAGTGAGCAAATGGGTCTTTGCAAACCTTCATTTTTAGGAGTGCTGACTTTTCCAGGATAGGGGACTGTTGTAGTAATACAACTGTATTTATAATGCTCTTTGATTGAGCAAATCAGCTTCAGAATTGAGTGTGTGTGCTTTTTCTTTGTTTAAAAATAAGAGAAATTTTAAATTAAAATTGCTTTAAAGAATTTATATGATCCTATAAGGCCTTAGTTGATAAGTTCCTACCTCATGAGGAATTTTTTGTAGATTAGTGTTTTTTTAAGG